ACCCAGAGTGCACCTGGTCGTTACCCAGAGTGCACCTGGCCTGGTGGCCTGGTTACCCAGGGTGCACCTGGTCGTTACCCAGAGTGCACCTGATCGTTACCCAGAGTGCACCTGGCCTGGTGGTCTGGTTACCCAGGGTGCACCTGGCCCACCTGCAGCGGCGTCTGCTGGCCCGTCAGCGTGTTGAGGATCCGGACCCAGCGGGTCTTGGCGGACAGCCGGCCCACCTGCAGGCGGCGGTCCCTCCACCAGGGGGCGCCGCCGTCCCCCGCCCAGTCGGAGCGCGGCCCGGGGGGGGGCACGTGCACGAAGCGCCCCCGGGGGGTGTAGTACCGCACACAGCCCGTCAGGGGGTCCACGAACCGCCGGACCTGCACACAGGAGGGACCGGTGGGGACCTGGACCTGAGGGGGACCTGGTGAGGACCTGGACCCGATGGGACCTGGACCTGACGGGGACCTGGACCTGACGGGGACCTGGACCTGATGGGGACCTGGTCCTGATGGGGACCTGATGAGGACCTGGACCTGATGGGGACCTGGTGAGGACCTTAGGGGGACCTTATTAGGACCTGATGGGGACCTGATGAGGACCTGGACCTGATGGGGACCTGGACCTGATGGGGACCTGGACCTGATGGGGACCTGATGAGGACCTGATGGGGACCTGGACCTGACGGGGACCTGGACCACTCACGTCTCCAGTTTGAGGGTCGAACCAGCTGCTGATGTCCCGTCCTGCGGCCTCCATGATGGGCAGCAGCAGGACGTCCCCTGTGGACACACCCGGGTCAGTTACGCCCGCCTTGGGCCTCCGGAGACCCTAGACCCCCCGAACCCCCAGGACCCCCAGACCCCCTGGACCCCCTGTTTCCCCCGGACCCCCGTGGTCTGTCTATGATGATCTGACAGAAGCGGTTTAACTGCTAAAGCAGTTTATCTTTAAATTCTGTTACCTCAGACTAAAGCCTTTTGTTTATCACACAAATAAACTAGCCTTCTTGACTTCCGGTATGCTTTTCTGGTAAGTTTATGTTTCCCAAAAACTATAACTTTTTGTTTATAACTTCACGCATAAATAAAGCAGCTTAGTAGACTCCTCTTGTGTTATTCTCTTAAATTTGTGCTAAACTATCCGGATCTGACAGCGTATGCTGACTCCACAGTTATAGTGTCAGACTAGCATACGGCTATGCTAATCCGACGGTTGGCGCATGCGTACTGACTATCCAGGGGCCCGGCCCGGAGCCCAACCTCACCTTCGTGGCGGACCATCAGCGGGCTCAGGTCGCACACTTTGCCCAGAAACGAGACCCAGCAGTCGGCCGCGGTGTTGTGCGCCGCCACCTCTTCGGGGGTGAAGAACCGGTGACGCTGCATCCTCACAAAGAGCCGGGACTCACCGTTACCGTCACCGGAGCTGTCTGTTAGACGCGTTACCACGGCAACGAGGGCCCACTTCCGGGTTCGCTCCGTCCCCCAC